TGTAGGTTCAAGATGTCTTGATACAAAATGATAAAAACCGCCATTCCCAGTTTGCCCCTAAAGAAGAAAGGTTCACCTTTCGAAAGCGCACGGATTACAGTTGTTTTAATTATTTTGTGTTAAAAAATAGATAGGGATCTTCATTTCTAGTGATGATATTTCTAACAGTCTTTAGAATGTAAACGTCACCATGATTTTCACATAACTTTTTATGTATTGTTGATTCAACTTTAGGTATCGATTTAAGTAAAATATGTTCTCAGCTTTATACCATGAAAAAAACTAGAAGAAAAAACATATATTGTAAATATACCAGATGTGTTCAGCTCCATCGTATTGGTATTTTAAATCAAAGAACTTTGTTACGTAACCATAGTTGCCATTTTGAGAATAAAGGCTTCAAAACGGATTGGCTTCCGGCGTGATTTTGGCGTCCTTAGCTATCCTAAAAAAAAACCTTCTATGGGACAGCGATATGGTAGAGGTAGAATCCAGGGTTTGACTCGTGGCGGTGGACACAACACACAGTATAATATAGTTTTATGCTAAAAAACAAATAAACAAATAATTTTTGAATATTCTGTCTTTCACCACATCGTTAAAAAAAACGTAATACGAAAATGCTCTGTGATATGTCTTTTACTCCAGCAATAATTCTAACCGTGGCTATATTACGCATCGAAAAGACGACATTTCACCGTCAACCAACTATATAGGTTTTAAAGATGTCAGTAAATACAATGAAACTTTGACTTAAATCTACGATAGCTCGTTTTTTATATTAGCTTAAGCAAATCGTTCTGATAAAGTATAATTAGTTCTAATTAATGAAGGGTCTACATGATCACTTAATTATTAGAAAACATTATTTTATAAAGTATAATTAGTTCTAATTAATGAAGGGTCTACATGATCACTTAATTATTAGAAAATATTATTTCATAAAGTATAATTATTTCTAATTAATGAAGGGTCTACATGATCACTTAATTATTTGAAAATATCATTTTATAAAGTATAATTAGTTCTAATTAATGAAGGGTCTACATGATCACTTAATTATTTAGAAAATATTATTTTATAAAGTATAATTAGTTCTAATTAATGAAGGGTCTACATGAACACTTAATTATTAGAAAATATTATTTTTGTGTACTTCACTTGAAAACTCTGAATCATATAAACTAGTAGCCACCTTTGTGTTTTTCTTTCATAGCGCTGCTTTGAAAATAAAATATGTTTATGATAAAAGTAACAAAAAATACCAGTTTACAGTTATCAACTCTTCACTAGTTACAATTTTACAAACATTATATGATGTTCTATATTTTTCATCTATCTGTTGTTGCCCCCCAGGGGCATAGCGGTATGTCTGCGGACTTGCAATTCTGGAAGCAGGGTTTCGATACCAGTGGTGAGCAGAGCACAGATAGCCCATTGTGTAGCTTTGTGCTTAACTAAAAACAAAGAAACTACCTATTGTTGCCCCCCCCAGAGGCACAGAGGTATATTTGCGGGCTTACAACGCTAGAAACTGGGTTTCGATACCCGTAGTGGGCAGAGCGTAAACAGCCTATTGTGTAGCTCTGTGTTTAACTACAAACTGTTTATTGCTATATGTAAAACATTCAGAAGTAAAACGAATGTTACTTACGTCACATTACGATTGTAAGTTCCAATTATCCATATTCTTTTAATATGGACAAACCAAACAGAGGGTGAGTTTCATCTAGTCCCGCAATTTAAATTTTGATGTACACGTAGAAGAGATAACCCTCCTTAATCATCACATTTATATTTATTTACCTTTTAGTATGTCTCCATCAACATCTTCACGAGTCTGTAACTTGGTGTTATAATGATTTAACTTAATGTATTTTTTTTCCTTTCTGACATCAGAGTTGTGCACGTTACCCATCACTAGTTCACCAAGATTTAAACACGTAAATCCGGATTTAGTGGAAGTCAGTTGTAAAGAAGGAAAAAACATTGTTTTGGTAAGTTGTTTTCCCACTTTAACTAGTATATAAACGTTAAAACAATTTACTAAGAATCACAAAGAACATACTGTCTATCTATAAACATAGCGTTTAACGTAAAGGTGTCCACTAGAAGCAATTTGAAAAGAAACGTTCAATTGTTGTGTTCAATAAATCTAAGCCGGTTGAAAGGACTTTCTTAAGCCTTGCTTGTCGAATGGGAATATTCCAGAATGAAATATATTTTGATTTTAATTCCTTTGGGTATAATTTATCATTTCTAAACATACATTTTACGACATCTAACTCATAACTATAGCCTCCCCCCCCCCAGTGGCACAGCGGTAGGCTGAGGGACTTACAACGATAGAAACCGGGTTTCGATACCCGTGGTGAGAAGAGCAGGCACAGATAGCCCATCGTGTAGCTTTGTGCTTAATTACAAACAAACAAAACTATAGAAATTATAATATATTTTTACATCAATATCTCATCAGAAAAAATAATGTAGCATGAGAGGAACTACAGTTTTTTTGACTAAATCATATTTTTTTATTAAATCACTCATTTATCGGCATTTCGCTTAGAATTTAATGATCTTGGATAACAAACGTGATTTTGCAAGCCAATCATGTTGCAAATGTAAGGGATTACCAAATATACATCGAGGGTAATCTGTAATATTTGTCCCCCAGTGGGACAGCGGTAAGTCTACGGATTTAATTTAATCATAAAAATATTAAAATGTATTTGTGTTGATTATAAAAAAAATCTACATCAGACTATCTGCTGTGTCTACCGAGGGGAATCGAGCCTCTGATTTTAGCGTTGTAAATCCGAAGACTTACTGCTGTCCTACCGAAGGACGGCGCAAACGTAACCAAAGTAAGGCACGTATGAATATACTCAGAAGTATGGGAATCAAATTACATCATAAAGGAAAACAACCAATTACGTGAAAAAAATCAAAGTATGGTGTGGTAAATTTTTCAAATTATTATCAGGCTGAGTTTTAACACCTTATATAGCATAACAGTTGGAAAAATAGTGTTAAATGTCCCTTCTATGAGTTGGATATTTTAGTTAGGAAACCACTTACACTTGACGACATTTTATACATCGGATAAACTTCAAATATCAAGTCACTTTGAGTAATAATCAAATAATCTCAGTGTTAAATGT